TGATGGCACAAAAGTTTGTAAACGTTTTTATCTTCCATACGTTGTAAATCTAGCAATCAATCAAGGATATAACAGATTTTTCGGTTCCATAAAAGAAACATCTGCCTTTTCACATCACGATTTTTCACACCTAGAAACGCGATATTAAAAAAAACACTAAATACATGCTTTTTCTTGGTTTCGAACAATACGAAAATTATTAAATATGATAAAATATAACAAAATAAAGACTGCTTCGAAACAATATCGGATTTAAAAATTTGTCTTGCAAACTTCATTTAAAAAAACATTAGAAACAAATGAAAGTAACTTGACACTTTGCTTCCATGGTAACGCGATATACCTTCATGAAATTTGATACCACTGAAAAGGATAAAATGAATAGATACCCTCAAAGCAATCCAGTTTTCACGAAAAATTTATTGGTCTACGTTTCTATGCTTCTGAAAATGCGAATGATTTTTTTCTGTGCCATAATAACTGTTACTGTTGTTCAAATTTCTTCCAAAGAGACTTTTTGCGGGGGCAAGCTGAACAAGACGCTGAAAAAGTTTTGCATACTCCACAACACGCCAGGTAAGTTTAAAGAGAGATATATCCGAATTTTTGTGGATTTTCACACTTAATTAGATAAATCATTCGCCCAAGTTTCGTCATTCTATATCAAAAGTCTTCAGATGAATTTTAGAAAGGGATTTCTTTTAATTTCGAAAACTGTCGGCTTCGAACCCATAATCTTTTTGGTTTGGCATCATACGACCTGTTAAAGTTTGTTGACGCATTTAAGCAACACCCTGTATGTTACCTACATCTAAAGATTACTGTAGAAATGTGTATAGGACGACAAGAGAAATAATCCAAAAAAAATCGTACGTACAACTACGATATGTCGTTCTTTTTTTCAGATCAAAGAGTAAGAAGGCAAATCGTCGCAGAATGCTGCTACAATAAGTGCTCGGTGAAATATCTGGTTTCTAACTACTGTCAAACCTACGACAGGTAATTTAATTAACTTAAAAATGTATCAGTTAAAAAAAACAAGGTTTACGTGTAGCTTACTTACTTCAACGAATTCTTCCATGTGTTCCAGAGAAGCTTTGGAGAACTACTTGCTGAAACTGAAAATAATTCGCAACAATGAAGGCTTGAAATACAGCAAGTCGAGAAATTCTCCTCTCGATAGACGTAAACGTAGGAAAGCTAAACGGTGTTCCTGTAAAAGTAGGGTAGGTGGTATCAAAATTTGTTTTGTATAGACATAGAAATTTCAAAACATTTGTATTTTTTTATTGAACTTGTTGAGCTGTTATATTTTTTTAGGCCCGAAGGAAAGAGATTCATCGTGACGACAAAGCACTGAGAAAAAACATTCTCTCTTCAAAATTGGGGTATATTGATGAAGCGCAAAGGCCATTCTATATTTCAAACCGTTTGTAGACAATTACGACAGCAACGAGAATGGCACAGGACTGAACTTTTTATGCACATAACTTCGAGATATTTGCAAAGTAAAATAGTTGCATTTTTTAAATAATACTTAATGTTTTATCCAAAATGTAGCTTGAACAACGAAATAAAATGGACTGTAATTTATGTAGCTGAATCATATAGATTTATTAAAAATTTGTATAAAATAAATTCATCAAAACAATAAAATATTGTAATATTTCATTATGAAGATATTTCCTTTCATGTTTCTGCTTGAATTTCGTCGTTTTTGTCTTCTAATTGAAGCTATTCTCTTGCCACACGTCAAAAGAATTTGTTCTGCATTTATTAGGAGGCCCTGAAAGAAATATTGTACATTACCAAAAAAATAACAGTGCTAATTAAACTTATAGTACCTAATGCTAGCAAAATGCATTGTTTTTTTCAAGAATCTAATGATATCAAATCTGGTAATCCTACTGGCCACATATCTATACAAATGCTGCTCCCACAGATACCAAAAGCAAAGACTGTCCATACCTTACTGGAATCCAGAGCTTTTCAAAACTTGCGTCGTGTCCACACCTCATTCAATTCAAGTGATGCTTCCATTTACTCGTCTCCGCCTCCTTTTTCTCCTCTTCTTCGAATCCAAGTCCGGTACCTCCCCCGTTAACATCTGCCTTTTCCGTTCCTTCAAATACTTTATCACCTCCTCCCTAAGAAATAACACACTCATCACTTGCTCTGTACCGCTATTATTTTTTTTTATTTTACCTGTCATAGCTCTCGCAGTAATTGGACATCAGATGGTGCGTACTGCAAGCACTTCGACAGCACTCGTCGACTACTTGCCTCTTTGCGCGATGATCTGCAACAAAAGACGTTCCTCGATGGCATTTAAAGGTTTTAGTCGATGGGGGTCAAGTCTGGCGACAGTGCTGGTCACTCTATGCGCTCCACTTGCTCTAAGGGGGGAATTAACGGACCTAGCGCTGTTTGTGACTCACCTGGAGTGTAGTACGCTTTGCAGAACTTCTGTAAGGTGCGGATGATGTTATCTCCGCAAAAGGTTCGTTCCTCCATAAGGACTTCGTCGCCGGAAGTAGCACATGCGAGTATTATCAAGATGTAAATTCGTTCGAGCATCATTTTCAATGCACCTGAAATATAATGGGATATTTCAATTTTTCTCTTTTTGTTTCCTGTTTATTTTTTAAATATGCCTGAAAATTGTACACAAATAGATAGGTTTAAAAAAAAGCAATAATTGGTTTTTTGTTGTTTTCGGTAAGTTAAAAACGTGATTAAAATGTTAACACTTGTTTCTGGGATTCCCCATACACTTTTAAAAGTATTTTCCTGTTAGTTTTCCAATATTTCGGGGCTTCTTACGCGGTTTTCGATTTAAATCCATGTTTTTCGATATTTTTTACTCATTTTGACTTACCCGGATGGAAGTATAGAACAGGTCGATGCTAACGATTCTATCACAAATATTTTCTGTCCTTTGCTACGTGCTGCCACAGAACGACTATGGTGTCAGCCCTCCATTGCCGCTATTTAAACCCGCTGCATATCGCTGTTTTGACAAAAATCTTCGGCCTTATCAAAAATCGAAGTGTGAGTTTAAGAGTACTACGTTGCAAGCGCCAGCCAAAGGCTAAGCAGTTGTGTAGGTAGGAGCGTTTCATGTTCTTGAAGGGTGAATAGGTGTATATGAAAAAAATTCGGCTCATTTTTTGAAATAAGAACGAAACAAAATTGCGAGATGAAACAGTTTTGGTTACAGAAAAAAAGTGGATGCTATGAAGGAAAGAAAAATATATTAGCACATATTTGAAACAAAAAGGATAATAAAAGAAGAGAAAGATAAACCCGCTGCATAAGTCATTCGAAGAGAAAAGAGTTCGCTACAAGAGAAGAAAAGCAACAAAAGCAACATTAAAGAAAGAGTGGCTCGAATCAGTCGAATTTATTTGGAAGTAATTCATATCCATGACATTCAAGATTGTTTTGGGATTCCCCATTTACATTTTTTGCGAAATTTTGCGATTTTTTATCAGGCTCAATTGACTAGATTTAAATCCGGCTCGACTAAATTTATAAGACTTGATCCAATCTAGAAAACCTCGTTCTAAATTCTCTCACTGTCGTATTTTTTGCCATTTTCCGATATTTTTTGCGTTTTTTCTGCAAAATCTGTGTGGGATACAGCTAATAGACGTCAGACTCGAATTTAGCGTATTAAAATACATAAGAAACACACTTGATCAAGGCCCGAAAAAATGTTTTCGATTTTTTTTGGGCTCACTAACATTTTTCTCTAATTTTGGTGATTTTTCGCTATTATTTTACGATTTTTGCAAAATTCGGAGGCATACAGACTAAAAGACGTCAGCACATGAAAACTTTCTATCTATTTTAACCGAGGCTTAACTTTTTTATGTTAATTGCCATTTTACTAATTTTTTGTATGCCCCCAATTTTTCTTAAAATTAAAAAAAAACCTCATGTTCTGTCTCTCAAGCAATTCTAAACAATCTGTCACAAAAACGTCAAAATTACATTTGGAGAAACATCATTTCCAAAGCCACTATTTTGTCCAATCATTAGGACTCGCAATTTTGCTGATGATATCATTCCAATAATGTGCTTGTGTTGACTTTAAATTGTAGATTACATAAACAGGTAGGTGCTCATACTCTTTTTGTGTTTCGAGGAAATTTCCAGCTATTTATTGAGAAATAAAAATGACTTTACACTGTCGCCGCCTCCACGTGGTTTTGGACCTTGAAATCCCGGATTGTTTATCCCTATTTCTGGGCCACACAGACATGAGTGTAAACAAAGGGAACATGGTACAAATATCCAATTCAAACAGAGCGTCGCCTAGATGACCAAGAAAATCAGTATATCAGTGAAAAAGTTGTTTATTTTAAACTTCATTGTTTGTTTTACTATCTAGCTTCCTTTATGGTACACAAATTGTTCTATTTTTAATGGTCAACGCTCCTGCAGCTATTTATAGTAATACAAATATTTTTGGGGTAACAAACAAAGTGTTATCTCATCAAAACATTATATAACGGTGATTTTTATCTAAACCCTCAGGAAACTAAGGCGAAATTGTGTCATCATTCGTAGATATTTGCAAGGTAGGTACTAAAAATTTTGAATTTGCCGCTTCTGCAGAACAAAACTAGAGATAAAAATTCGGTTAGTAGATACACAAGAGGTTAGCAGCAAATAACATTTGAAGCAAAACGTCAGTTAAATCTAAAAATTTCTGTTACTTTATTAAAAATTAAAAAGAAAAAATTGAATACTCATGCACCATAATTAAATAGGTTGTACAAAACAATATGATGTAATACCCATCGAATGTTACATAATTATAAATATTGACGCCTTGTTTTGACAGTCTATAAAGCGACCGCATTGTTTGCCTAGAAGTTGAGGCGCTATACTGATGTCTAGCGATGCTGATTCGTCAGGAATTCTTTCAAATACATTTGTTATTGTTAACAAAAGGTTTGTTTATAACTTATCCATTATTTGCTCTCCTTCAGAATGCACAAGATGTTGTTTTTTTGATGGTCGATGCCCCTCTAACATCAGTAAATTCCAATGCATTGCTTAGAATTATACTGCATTGTAGTGTGTGAGTGTTAGGTATATATTCTTAAATATGACTTTGTCAAAATCACTGGTTATGTGTGTGTTTCAACTTTCAACTATGGATGCATCAAACAAGTGATTTAAAAAATAGTATTCTTTTCTAAATTTAGACTTTCTTTAGTTTAGTATTTTATATAAATTCTTCACATACGTAAATACAATATACCTATGCTTATTTCGTATTATAAAAATGCTAAAATAAAGTTTAGTAAGATAGTAATGATTTCTCTTTAATAACTAAGTACGTAGATTTCATTTCACATATAAATTATGCAAACATATAAAATTACATATAATTTTTTTTAGTATTTATTTTTATAATTATCGTGCAATTATTCTGTTCGAATTCATTAATATTCTTTCTCTAAACTCCCAATATGTATTACTTCAATATGAATTATATGATAAAAAATTCTATTATCTGTTCCGTGGTCTGCACTACAATGTCAATTGTCAATAGTCAATATGTCATTGCTGTTATAACCTTAAATTTTAAGACACTTTTTTAAGAATGTCTAGTTTATTTAAAGTATTTAATCCTTCTTTAATTATTAGAAGAAACATAAAAAAGCGGTACAATTGGTCAGATGAAGGTATTCAGTACCCAGGTTTCAAGTATTATCCTAGGTTTGTACAAACAGTAATTTTATTTTAACGCCTTATGGAAAATATACTGTTTTAGGAACAAAGACTTCGAAGATCCCCCCTACGAGCCCTCAAAACTGTTCAGAGTAGAACGAATTAAACCATTAAAAGGTGTCCCATACTTCGAAAAGCACATTCTGAAGGAATTCAAACTAGACGGTCTGGTATTATAAATGCCACAGTTCCGTAACGATTTTACGCTATACTGTAATTATTTTTAGGACAACTGTTACAACATAATTAAAAATATCCCAGAAAACAACCAACGCTTGTGGAAAATTAAGCATCTCGTGAGAATTTGTCCAATAACGTTCCCCGATGGGTTTCCAAAGGAGGACGATATGACTTATTTGAAAGAAAACGGTGAGTTGAGGATTACGAAAAGAGTTAGAGTGGAAGATAGACTACAATTGACTGAAGAGTTTCAAAAAGACATAACAAAACTGGATGGTGACACTTTAAGGAGGAATTCAAGAATGAAGTGGTTATCTGGTTGGGAATAATATATTATTACGTTATAGAACAGTATAATTCTTAATAAAAATATTTGTTTTAAAAATGTTTTTAAATTTGAAAAAATATATACAGCGCCATCTAGCAGGAAATCGATGAATTACAATAAGTTGTATAAAAAGTTAGGTTAGTGTTAATGCACTTTGAACACGTTTTTTATACATTTACGTTAAAAAATCGTGCATAAATAATTAAATCTGTCCATTACCGAGCAATTTTATTAATATTATGCCTTCGGCCATCATGGAATGCACCGATTTTAGTGAATTTCAGGTAAATACTTCAGTTTCCTAACAATTCTAACCTATAAATTCTTATCGCTAAATCTGTGCCTGTCCAAACAATTTTAAAATACTGCGATCGAAACAAATCCTTCACCTCACTTAGGGAACTGTGTGTATGACAGGGAATCTTTATTTCAGGAAGCACTGAAAAACCTGCGGAAGACTGACGACATTATAATAAATACAATAAATACCGTTGTACCTACAGACTCGTTTCATGCAGACGCAGCAACGGCATGTAAGAATCTACACGAGTCGTTGGAGGAGGGAAATATAAAAAGGGAGAAGTACATAAAAAACTGCATATCCGTTGCAGCGGACAGAGTGAAAAGACTTAGGGAGGAACGGGAGGCTAATGCTGAAGACATACAATTGAGGAAAGAGTTGAGAGACGAACAAACAAAGGTAAATAGTGAATTTGTGACGTTGAATTAGCTTGTAACAGTTTCGTTCGTTCTAAAGTGTTATTTTTTTTTAGTTGCGTATGTTGCAAGTTGAACTGAGTGTCGAAGACTTAATAAAACAAAGGACTGCCAAAGTTTTTAATGAAAAGTGTAGGAAATATTATAAGCCGTTATGATCGGTGGAGAAATTCTATCTGGAATTTTATCCGAGTAGTAATTATGATCGTTAAACAATTTTTATATTCCTATTGTAAGTAGATCTCTTGAATTGAATTATAAATGTTGAAAAGCAAAAGTTATTTATTTTTCTCTCGCTTAGAAAAACGTTATAATTGTTTTTCTTTAATATAAAGTTACTATGTTTGACTGAAATTCAAATAATATAGTCTGAAAGTATGTAGTGTGGTGCTGTGATTATAAAGAGTTTTATGCAATACAAAGTACATCACGTTGATAATAGGGTTGCATAAATCGACATTTATGTTACGTTTCTTGAGTTTAATGCAACCAGAAAAACAAATTTTAGTGAACTATAAAGTGTTAGGCAACTCAATATACACATCGCTGATGTGTTGGTTGCATGTATCTACATATTTATATCACTTTTTACTGTTAGGCAACTAAAAGACGTGTGTTGTGTTTGTTTGTGTGAAGTGTTTATCCCAATCAGCATTTTAAATATACAATGAATTAAATTAATAATCAGCCATAATTTTGAATTAATTTTTCACTACACAATATTAAATGCAATTTTAATCAAATTTGGACGATTTTAGTATTTGTAAATTTACTGAATTTTCCTCCGCACATAAAGATGAACCGTTTTGGAAAAAAACGATTGAATTTTAACAGCTTTATCGTGTGGTGCTGTATTTACAGAATGTTATGTAATACAAGATACATCCCCGTGATAATTTGGTTGCATAAATCAATATGATGTTACTTTTCTTGATTTTAATGCAACGAGTTTAGTGAACAATATTTACTATAGGCAACACAATATACACACCGCTGATATGTTGGTTGCATATATCTACATACTTTCGTTACTTTTTTTGACTGATTAGGCAACCAAACCAAGTCTTTTGTATTGTTTGTCGCATTCGGTATTTCCAAGGAATTAACATTCTCTAATAATTTTGAATTAATTTTTTCACTACACAATATTAAATGCAATTTTAATCAAATTTGGACGATTTTATTATTTGTAAATTTACTGAATTTTCCTCCGCACATAAAGATGAACCATTCTGGAAAAAAAAACGATTGAATTTTAACAGCTTTATCGTGTGGCGCTGTATTTACAGAGTGTTATGTAATACCAGATACATCCCCTTGATAATTTGGTTGTGTAAATCTATATGATGAATCTTTTCTTGATTTTAATGCAACGAGTTCAGTGAACAATATTTACTATAGGCAACACAATATACACACCGCTCATATGTTGGTTGCATATATCTACATACTTTCGTTACTTTTTTTGACTGGTTAGGCAACCAAACCAAGTCTTTTGTATTGTTTGTCGCATTCGGCATTTCTAAGGAATTATCATTCTCTAATAATTTTGAATTTATTTTTTCAATATACAATTTTGATAAGATTTAGACGATTTGAGGACGTGTAAATTCACTGAATTTCTCTCCTCGTGCGTAGGGATAAAATTGAACCCTTTCAAAAAAAAAACAAATGAATTTTAAACATCTTTATTTTCAAACTTATTGCAAACAATCACAATTTATTGGAACTTAACAGGAATCAAGTTGAACAAACATACACATACATACAAGTAAAAAAATAACAGTACAAGGATATCCAACTTTATTTTTACAACTATACCCTAACCTAAAACATAAGAATACGCAGGTCGTTAATACTAAATTCCACGGTCTAGTCTAGTTGAGTGTCGTTAGGAATAAATTAAAAAAATAATCTCCGTACGATCGGTACGTTACAAGAACAGCGACCCTCGCAGATCTAAATTAATTTTTTTTCTACATGGACGTCGGCGACCAAAAGTTCATCTCCCGCAGCTCCGACGGTTTCGCTTTGAAGACGTTCGTCTTATTCCTCGACGTCGACAGTTCGTCTATGCTCGCCGTGGACGCGGACCTCTCCAGCTCCTCTTTCGTCTCCTCGTTGATGAATCCCACGGACTGCGATAGGTCCCGCCGCGCCAGCAGGTTCGACAAGATCCAACCGCCTAAGAAACAAACGAATCGATAAATGCTGACGATGTCGCTTTTTTTTGAGTATATGTCCCCCTTTTTACAAAATTAGACAAAATATATATATACACGATTTACTCGTAACAACCTACAAATCTCAAATGAATCAAAATATCGAGACGTGGCTTGAAATTGACCTCGAGACGTTTGACCTACTTTTAAGTTAGCTCATTTCCAAGAAACAAACACTCCAAAAAGTATCGGAATCAGTTAAATCGTCTCTCATTTGTCTGGAGAAACAGGAAAAAAATAAATTTTACATACGTTTCAAAAAAAAAAAATTGTACGGAGTATAAATTTAAACATACGGGCAAATGTTTGATTAAAAAATACCTTCAACAAAATTTTTTCTGGTATTTTTATTATTTTCAATGACATACTTTAATTTCCAACGTCTACTTTATTTTTAGAGATACGGCGTTGACGGCAGTTTTTTTTTAAATTGTCAGGCCGCCGAAGGTCACCAGTCTGAACATTTATTATGATTTTTTTTTTATATTCAAGTGCTCCATGTTTTGCAATAACAAATTTCATTTTCACTGTAACCGGTGAAAACCTGTCTTTCTAGAAATTTTAAAATAAACGGGGCAGTCCACATTTAAAAAAACTGCCAACAACGCCATATCTCTAAAAATAAACTGGATGTTGGAAATTAAAGAAGAAAAGAATAAAAAATATTACAAACATTTTTTGAAGGTATTTTTTAATTAAACTTACGTCACCCTGTATATGGGTGTTGCGACATATTTGCTCAACCCTGTATAGGCCTCAGTTAATTCTCACTCAACGTATCTCTTAAACGAATCAAGCTAACAGTGTTTTGCAGTTCAATTTTTCTCGAAATTGAGTTTGAGACATCTGAACTACTTTTTCACTTCTTCCGAAAATGTGACTAGTAAAGTATCAATTTAATGAAAATTAAAGACGCACTTATTTGTATCAAATATCAAGAATAAATTTTACGTAGATTTCAATTTTCTCAAAATTGGTCTCGAGACGTTTGAACTACTTTCTTTCGAAAAGTATCAAAATTGGCCAAATCTTGTACGAAATTTAATGAAAATTAAAGGCACTTATTTGTAGCAAAACTGAAGAATACATTTTACGCAATTTGAATTTTCTCAAAAGTGGTCTTGAGACATTTGAACTACTTTCTTTCGAAAAGTATCAAAATTGGACAAATCTTGTACGAAATTTAATGAAAACAAGGCACACTTATTTGTATCAAAAAGCGAGAATAAATTTTATGTAGATTTCAATTTTCTCAAAATTGTTCTGAGACGTTTGATCTACTTTTTTTCGAAAACAAAATTGGACAAATCTTCTACAAAATTTAATGAAGATTAAAGGCACACTTATTTGTATCAAAAAGCGAGAATAAATTTTACGCAGATTTAAATTTTCTCAAAACTGGCCTCGAGACGTTTGAACTACTTTCTTTCGAAAAGCATCAAAATTGGACAAATCTTGTACAAAATTTAATGAAAATTAAAGGCACACTTATATGTATCGAAAATAAAGAATAAATTTTACGCAGATTTGAATTTTCTCAAAATTGGTCTCGAAACGTTTGAACTATATTCTGTCTACTTCCTCTCTAATTACGACACACTCCAAAAAGCATCCTATAAATAATTTCAAAAAAATCACGTCAATTATATCGAAAAATCGAAAAATATAAGAAATATTTCATTTAAAAATATATACGCTTTTATCACAGTGACCTAAATCTCAAACGAATCAAGATATCGTTGAATTTTTCTTGAAACGAGGTTGATAACGAATAACTTATTTAAAAATATGTACGCCCCGGTTACGTGTAAACGAATCAACACCTCATGATGCGTTTCCTCCCCCCAAGACACCTGAACTACTTTTCTGCTATCTCCTCCCGAAAATATGACCCGAAAAGTATCAAAATTGGACAAAATTTAATGAAAATTAAAGATACACTTATTTGTATCGAAAATCAAGAATAAATTTTACGCAGATTTGAATTTTCTCAAAATTGGTCTTGAGACGTTTGAACTACTTTCCGTCTACTTCCTCTCTAATTACGACACACTCCAAAAAGCATCCTATAAATAATTTCAAAAAAATCACGTCAATTATATCGAAAAATGGAAAAAAATAAATATTTCATTTAAAAATATATATGCTTCGGAGATATAGTTTAATTTTTCTTGAAACCGAGTTGATAACAAATACTTATTTAAAAATATATACGCCCCGGTTACGCGTAAACGAATCAACACCTGGGGATGTGTTTTTCCCCCCAAGACACCTGAACTACTTTTCCGCTATCTCTTTCCAAAAATATCACTCAAAAAGTATCAAAATTGGACAAATCTTGAACGAAATTTAATGAAAATTAAAACTTACAATTTGAAAATTTTACGTAGATTTAAATTTTCTCAAAATTGATCTCGAGACGTTTGAACTACTTTCTTTCGTAAAGTATCAAAATTGGACAAATCTTGTACGAAATTTAATGAAAACTAAAGGCACACTTATTTGTAAATTTTACGTAGATTTAAATTTTCTCAAAATTGGTCTTGAGACGTCTGAACTACTTTTTTCGAAAAGTATGAAAATTGGACAAATCTTGTACGAAATTTAATGAAAATTAAAGGCACATTTATTTGTATCAAAAATCAAGAATAAATTTAACGCAAATTTGAATTTTCTCACAATTGGTCTTGAGACGTTTGAACTACTTTCTGTCTACTTCCTCTCTAATTACGATGTACTCCAAAAAGCATCCTATAAATCATTTCAAAAAAATCACGTCAATTATATCGAAAAATCGAAAAATATAAGAAATATTTCACTTAAAAATATAAACGCTTCTGTCACAGCGCCCTATATATCAAACGAATCAAGATATCGTTAAATTTTTCTTTAAACTGAGTTGATAACAAATATCTTATTTAAAAATATATACGCCCCGGTTACACGTAAACGAATCAACACCTCGGGATGCGTTTTTCCCCCCCAAGACATTTGAACTACTTTTCTCAATCCCATCCCCAAACCTCACAAACCCAATTCTAGTTAGAAGTTGCGAATTTAACCGTTTAAATATCTAACCACAAATATTACCTTTAGCTTTCTCCGTATCCGTGAACGCCGCCGTGAAGTACTTATTCATGGCCCGTCTGCCTGCCTTGGGCGAAGTGCTGGGCGACGCGAGCGGCGTAGCGGGCAGCGACTTGCTGCCCCTCCTCTTCATCAGGTCGTAATGTTCCGTCGAGGCCTGGTCCTTGTCGCATTTGGTGTCCTCCTTGATAGTGAACCCGTGCACCATCTTGCCCGACACCATCTGGCTGGCCACGCGGATGATGGAGCTGCCGCACTTGGCCGCCTCCCCCTTGAAGCCGTCGTCCGTGCCCGACGACTTGATCTTCATCTCGGGGGTGACCTGGGGCGGCGACGCGTCTGCAACGAGCAAAAATTTAGTTTCTTTGACTTTTCAACCAAAAAATTTGTTCTCGACTTAAAAAAATTTAAAAAACGACTCACAAAGTGATGGCCTCATGAATGAACACATGTCGTAGTGAACTCTATTATCAGTTGGGGATAATTACAGCCAATTTTGTCTCCGTCACCTTCAGATGCTTCCGATGAACGTGGAAGCAATCGAAATAAAGGCTGACTGCTGATTTGCAGCGCCTTGACCTTCGCGGGTACAAATCTCGCGGTAAGTATGTGATTATTTACGTAAAACGGTCGTAAAAAAAATATTTACGATTGTTGGGAGACATTCAGTCATATACATTTTGCAGCGGGACAAATTCCGAGTCATATTTTATGACATTGATATGGTCTATCGGCACGTATGGATTAATTTACAACCAGGGGTCCATAAATACAAATAAATCAATTTTTTACAACTGTTCGATAATTGATATAACAATTTATTAGGAATTATTCATTCATTTTTAAGACAAAGATATTAACATCAATAGAAGTGTTTGTATTCTATTTTTTCTTTTTTTTTATTGCTGAATTGCAAAAAATTGCTATTTTTTTAAGAAAAAACGGGGCCTTAAATTTTTCAAAATCGATTTTCATAGAGTTAAGATCTCATGAACGGTAATGCGCGACAAATTTTAATGTCCGTTCATCGGATATTAAAACTCCTCCATAAATTTATTTCACATTTAATTTATCACTCCAGTCGAATTAAAGTTTGAAAGTGAAAAAATTATTAGTAGACATTTTATTACACTTTATGACGGGAAAGGGTATGTAGACAGATAATATCAAAAACGTAAAAGTTAGCAAATTTACGTTTTTTCACTTTTTTTACTGCCCATGAAAATCTAGACGACCTATCGGAAAATTAACCATTTTATGTTGTAGGCAATTAAATTACCTACAATTTAAGGTACCTACAGCCACATTTCACCAATTTGATAACTGTAGAACAAAGGTTGAACGCGGAAAAATCAGTTTTCGAAAAATGTGCATTATTATTGCAAAAAGCGATGGATGTTGATGAAATTTATGGAAAAGACGATCATTCCGATAACCAACATGTGCGCCAAATGCCGATTCCATTGACCGCGAAATTGTTGCTCCAGCTATTTGTTAATTAATTTTGTTTATTTTCCAATTGGTTCCAATTGATGAAAGATACGTATCGAAAAAGAAAAATATCAAAAAGTTGAAATTTGCAACCATCAAAGTACGACGCGTATAACAGCGTTATAAACAAATTATCCCAAGGTCAGGCAAAAGCAGCTCGGGGATTTGCTCTTTTTGCATTAAACTGGGCCTATTTTTACGATAATTTCCTCTTCGTTCCCAAGATAACTTGTCTTTTTATAACGTTAATTGCTAATTAACTATCGGTCATATCGGACCGGGATTTTAGAGACAATCAAATAAAAGGTTAAACTTTCATTTCCAAATAGTTTTACATTGATAGTTCATGTAATAAACGCGCTAGCAGCAGTAAAAGTTAACATTAATGAACAGCTTACACACGGGAGAAGGAGCGCTAGGCCCGCGCATGCGAGTGAACGTCGCTCTCGGTCATGCGCATATTTGACTTGAACGTTTCAAATTCGATCCAAAACGCCAAAAAATCATATGGTGCTATAAATGCTTCATACTCACAGTGCGTATCAGCATAGGAAGACTCGACTGCCAACATTGCTGCCAGAAAAGCCATTTGAACGACAGAACTTGATATATTACACACCCGGTATTAAATTTAAGTACTCAATTATTTTTTTTTAGTTAATGAACCGTCACCGTCAGAGATAAAAAGTTATTTCACCACACCGTCACACACCTTCTTTAATAATTCCCTGATAAGATACGTAAAAGTACAACAAACAAAATTAAAAACTTGTCAGTGAAAAAAAACACATTAGTCCTTCCAGATCCCGTTCTATCTAACGAACATTATCAGGAATTACATGAACTTCGTCTCCAAGACATCAGATTTGACCAACTGTTAGGGTCAAAGCGAGTTACCGTACTGAGACTGATAAGAAGCTGGTGTTTGCCACACGCCGTCAAAGTAAATATTATTTTCGATCGTAACAAAACAAAAAAACGATGAAAACATTCCACTACTATCACTTGATGTTTTGGAAATAAAAAAACGGGACTGCCAACAAAGATATTTTCGAAAACACAAAATCTAGAACACTTTTACTCGATATCCCTCGAGTTACTTCCCTCCTTCTACTTACCGTTGATGTTCTGCAGGTATTTCTGACAGGGTGGGGGGTGCCTGGACAAGTCGACCTTGGCGTTGTTCACCTGAGACGCCGTGATGTTGTCCTGGAGGCCGGGGGTGCCGAGTTTCTTCGAATCCACCCCTCCCTGCGCTTGCGGTCTATAGTGGAACATAAAACTGTCATCTAGCTCGGTCGGGGAGAAGGCCGTCTGGCCGAAATCGAACCTGAAATTAAATAGTTCCCTTTAAGCTTTAAGCCATACCAAGGGCCATCCTTACGCGATATGCTGACAATAAATCAGTAAAAAGCCGATAAGAATTTAAAAAATCAACGACTGGCCTGTTATTGAGTGTAAACTGTTTGTTCGACATGAAATGATGTAAGTAATGTAAGCTACTTTGAGAAGGCACTTTTCCTACGTCCCTCGTAATCATATTTACAAGTGGTTTTGCAACCGTGCGGTAATAAACAATTTTCGAAATGAATCTCGATTAGAAATAATAAATACCTTCGATAAGTTGAGAAACAAATCACCTCGTTATCGAAGTATAAAAACGTTGGGCAACTCAAGAGTCGATTCCACAACTTATTTATCATATTGCGCTAAAGCAGCAATATTGGATATTATTAAAAACACATAGTTACAAAAATTAAAGCTCGCAGTACTGATCAAAGTGTTTAGTCTAAATTTTTGTTTACTTGCCAATACCGAGCTTGGTTCGTGCTTTTCTAAATCAAATAATGCTAAACCTGCTTTGCATATAAACAAGAGATCAATAAATTCTAATTTGACGGCGATTTTCGCGACTCTTAACAACTTTCATTCAATAAAACCAATTTCTTGGCTACATCCTACAATGTTGACACCTGTTTTTAGTACAAATATTTAAAATGGACATACTCGCGCTTGTTATTTAAGTTACGTAATTTTGGCACAGTCTACCATTGCTTGTGGTTTGCCCTTATCGCAGTTAAATTTTACCAATACACCGGCCAATTTATTGTAAAACGTAAAAAACGAGCCACAGTAATAACCTACCATAATAATTTGGGGTCAAAATTAAGTAAGCGTAAAACATATTTTAAGTAACGGAAAAATATTTACCCATCTTTCAAAATTTTCATCTCGAAATCCAAAATCGCGGCAGTTTCTAGCTGACGCGGTATTCACTACAAATTACGAGATTTAACCGCTCCTAGCACCAGTAAACTAATTTAAAAAAAAAAAATAACTGATACGCTTTATCTGTCGGGGACAAAGATACGGACTAGCTACCACCGCGTGATACAAACGTCATTAAAGGCTATGTATCAAAATAAAACACCTAAAACCAACGATTCAGGCAAATTGTGGAGAAAATTTCGCATTTATTATCATCAAATAGACTCGATTTTACGCGCATGGAATTGTATGCACTACGCAACGCGTTGAAATGAATTTTATACTTCAGTCTGTCGATGCGACTAATTTTTTAATGAAAATTTTCGTTGCAGATCGGGAACTAGTAAGAAATATATATTTTTTAAATGCGAATGTTTAAATATAAACTTGTGGCACGCTTTCTAGAAGGTTCAAGTGTCCCTAAAAGGGATTGTTTGCCACAAAAACAATATTTTATTTTTAATAATTCTATTACCTGTTCTAGATTTAAGTGTCAATAACATCCGGACAGGTAAACACTCAAATCGATTAATAATGTTGGATTTGTGAACCCTTTTCTAAATTAATACGTACCTAGTTCATGTTATTAACCTTTGTTATTCCATTTAAATTTGCTTCAATCTACAGTGACCGATTTCAGTAATGATCTAGTCTAGAAAATACCAGTTCGTTAACTATATCTTATCCCTAAGGCACATGCCGGTTATCACCAATAAAATTCTATTTTTTCATCGACATGACTGGCTTATAAAAAATTTGGATCGACGCCTTGCCAAGTTGCACGATTTTTTTATGGAATATCTCGCCAAATATCTCTGTGATACGCTAGCCAAAGGAATTTTCCCACAAATTTATCTGTGATTATTTTATTACAATTATTATATTAAAGAGTCTAATATAGACACACAAAAATGTTTCTCCATAACGATAAAAAATATCTTATTTTACGTAACACCATATCCCTACATCTACTGCTTACCTTGCTTACAATTTATAAACAAAAAATCGCATTGCAGTAAACTATACGAAAAATTATTGCATTTAAACCATCACACGTAGCTACAGTAGCGATCGTTGTCATTTTGACAATGACAATGACAGGATAAGGCATCTCATAGAACAGCAAGCAAACACGTAATTTGGAGCCATCCAAATCTCAAGTTGCGTGTATTGTTATTACGTATACTATGATTTGACTAAAAAATATGACAAATCATTCCCGGAAAACCCATTTTGTTTATATTATCCATCAAAACAAACAACTGGAAAAGGAGCAATGCCAGAATTGTTAAATAATTAATCGTTTATTTGTCGCGATTCGTTGCGTCGTTATTTCCTGGAAACCTCATTCCAAAGTTCACGTTAAACACACTTCCTGACATTGTTCTTTAGAAACACAGTTTTAATGGTAGATTTACGTCACACACTTACAAAAATGTTTACATACGCTCGGTTACTTTTTGACACACGAGGTGTTGAAGTGCATTTTTTAACTACAAGAAAACGGCTGAAGTTATTTCGTTCAAGTTCGGCTCATCACTCAAAATATTGAAAACCAAAGAAACCAAATGCCCAAAAAAATTAAAGTAAGTGATCCAAAGGCGACTTTTAACATTGAAAATGTTTAAAGAGTCGGTAGTGTTAGGAAAATATGTGTGTATAGGAAGGTATAAACCTCAAAGCATAAGATGCTCGGTCGCGACCGCTGGGCGCGGGAGTGGTCCGATCGGATTGATTTTAATGTCGTTGTGTAGGTTGGACTTTTCTGCGTCGAATATATCTGTCCTGGCAATGGAGAGGAAAATGATAAACGTCGACATTTTGGCTGGCTTTGTACGACTCTATCAATATTTAAGGCCAGTTTTGTTATAAAATGTTTCTGAAAATCAATTGTATCTGTCCAACGACTTTCGTAGTCATTGAATTGCAAAATCAGAACTGTAATTTGGAAAAAGTGACCTAAAAGTGCATTTTTTTAATAAGACTGACGTTAATTGAAATAAGTGCATTATTTAGATAGTTTTTAACGTAAACACCTTGTATTTATCGAAAACCGTCGTTTCCGAACGCTTGAAACTGTTCTCTAATTCATGAAATAAAATCCAACATTAAAGTTCGGTCAAGGATTCTAGTCTCACCCTGTACATCAAAATTTGAGGCCAACACTGGCAATTTTCAACTCCTCTAGTTCCTGTATTTAATAATCGCGCTGAGCAATCCCGACAACCTTGGAACAGCATTTGTTTTAGCCATTTAACATTAACAAATGCAATTTTAGATACGAAGTTTATCCGGTTACAGCCGGACCCCAACAATGATGCCAATAAAAATTCGAAATAGCTTAGAACGAAAATGTCGAGTACAATAGAATTTTCTAGCGTGTTATATAAACGAGAAAAATACGAAAAATCGTCGGTTTGTCAACATATCAATTTGGGTCAAAGTAGGCTCGTCACATACGCAATACACACAAATAAAAGGTTAAACGTCACAGCTATGACGCATCGTGTTCCATTTGTTTTGATAATATTTTGGATGTTTCAAGAATATTGGTCTACGCCTACTATAAGCTTTAACAGAAACAAATATTTAACAAGCGTGTAAACGTCACAAAGAACATATATTTTTAGGCTTGTCTAATTAGGGATTAGCAAACTGCAAATGGCAAACGAACTGGAAGGTGCTGACGACCTTCATACGCCGCACGTGAAAATCGAAAAACATTCGCGTCTAATGCAACAACATTGGAAATTGCCGCAGTAGTTAACTGCCTCCACGATAATTCTGTATAAATATTCACGCAAGTCCTAGAGCAATAAAAGATAACCCACAAAAAACAAGTGTGGCGTTGACAAAGAAAGCGACTGTATAAATCACCGATATTTAATTCGTTTGTTTTCTAGGTAGCTCGATTTATTTGTTGTTTTACGACTCGCTAAATCAAGTGGTTTAGGAAACGAGATTTTACGAGCTATTGTTTTTTAAACTGATAACACATTATTAGATCTTACAAACACTCGGAGCATTTTAATCTTTTCATTGCATGTTTTTTTACAATAAATTAAGTTGTAAAAGTATGAAGCTCTAGAATTAATCCGTAATCTTTTAGATTTTACACAATTCCCGTGACAAACAAACAAAATTCGTAATATCTGCGGTATATATTTTAAATTCAAAAACCTGCGACAATTCCGAGAAACTATGTGACAAAGAGCATGTTTCGTTATGGTAGACCTTGTTAACAATATTTTCAACAATCTGTTGTGTATAAAAACAATGGACAAAATGTTTATGAATATGTGAAGACATTTAAATATAAATAAAGTCAAACCGAGTAAATAACTAAGTCTAATCTACAAAATTATGCAATTCCGACAAGAATAATGCAAGAACTTAATCTATCGACTCCAAATATAATACTTATCAATTTGTGGGTGATCGCACGCCTTAAGAGACAACAACCCTCAATTATTACTAATTTTACGGTACTAAAACGAATAAAATTCAACCAGCATCAGCAACAAATGATAACATTTCATCACACGACTGAATTTAAAGAAAAAATTAATTTTCTGCGATGCTTTTCAACGATAACGAGCCTCCGGCAGTATTGCAAGTTAAAATAAAGAAAAGCTTTCCTCAGAAGTAAAATAATTTTATTTTTAATTTACTCACTTGTCGCTCATCTTGTTCTTCATCCACTTGGGGATAGGCATACCCGAACCCAAAGACCTATCCTCTTGCGTAGCCATCGTAATGTTTTTCTTCCGCTTGAATGAAATAGGTTTGCTGCTTACTGATCGTAATTGCCAAAGTACGTGTAGAGTAATCGATGAATTTTGATTAATTCAGAACTAAACTATAGATGAGAATTTAGCACTGTAAACGCTGCTATAGAGACCGTACCCCTAGGAGTAAGCTTTAGCCATTGTACAAATCTGTAAACAAAAACATTTCTGCAGTCATATGATTCGGACGTCACACTCGCTAAGATGCTAATAGCTTGAATGATAATAATAGAAATTAGCAATTTTGGCAACAGGCCTGGAATTAACAGGTTGCGGTCTATATATCGCAATTCTTGGAATTATATCATGAAGCTTTTGTTCGCATTCGCGAAAGCGACTATAATTGTTGCAATAATATAAAGCAAACTGTTACATTCTTCAACACAAGCCTCTAGGTTTCACATTTTGCTTTAAATGAAGCTTTAATTTTACTTACTTTGACGGTATTACAGATTAAAAGCCTTTTACTGATTGCACCCATTTTCATTCACTGAGGATTTGTAATGAACTAAAATGAATTAATTAAGTACAAGTGGAATGCAAAACTTTTGACAATTCTTTCATCTGGGGGAAATTAAAATTTATGATTGCGTGAATATTGCATAGCGGCAGGGTCACCAACATATTCACGTACACTATACGCAAACTATTACAATTTTTCATGGTTGAGTGGTATGACCGACCAGACCAATAAAATTCAAAATAATTCCTACAATTTATAGAGACCTGGGGCCTACTTTTTTAAAGTACTTTTCAACTTTTCACTTTACACTGTTCAATTTAAAAATGTAGGAAAGCGAATATGTTCTATAAAAAATTGTACTTTACATAAATGTTATTCATTTTCAGAAGCTTCAGCTATTCATTTTCACTGTGTAGATTACCAACTGTTTTTTAAATATTAATTTTGAAAACAGAAAATATCCAGAAATGTGAAAAGTAAGGAGTGAAAAGTTGAAAAGTATTTTTTTCGTACGTTTTTGACATCGACAGACAGCCAGATATTTTTAGTTGGTACTTCTTCTCAGCATCGTAATTTATCTAAAATCAGATAATAATTTTCAACAACAAACTTCTTTACTTTAATTAGAATATATCTGATCTACAGCAGGATGTACAAATGAAAAAAGGTATAATAAATCAGAACATTGTAAGTTATTATTTGATGAGACTACTCTGAAATGTTAAATATGCAGTTTTGCATGCAAGAAAAATTAATATTTTTCATTTCGTTTTCCTTGTGAAAATATGTTAGTTTATCATGTTTTAAGAGCCCCCTCAAATCAGGTCAAAAAAATCTTTTTAGAGGTCGCTCAAGATTTTAAAAAATTTCCAAAATCGTTAAATATATATATTTTCTCTGCGATTAGTACATTATTTTGGTAACGGTACAGTATCGCACTCACGATTGGTCATTGTAGCATCGTAAAAATTGGCCTAGAATCAAAGTTCCTGATTTGATCTGACGTTCCTCGTTCAGTGCGCAAGTACAAGCCTTCCTTTTCCGATTTCTTCAAATTGTAGGTATGTTTTGGTAAACGAAAAAATATTTTCGCTGTTTTTACAATCCATCCAATCGCGTATTACTTTATCTTGCATTACATATTCAAAATAAAAAAAAACGGAAATCATTTCCGTGAATATTTTTAACCGTCCCACATCGATACGTGAACAAACTTAACAACAACACCGTTGAGGTTATGTCTTTGAGCATCTGTAACATCCTTTGCATATTTTAGGTTTCCAAGATGGGAGCTTACAAATACATCCAAGAATTGTACCGCAAGAAACAAAGTGACGTGCTTAGGTTCTTACTGAGAGTGAGGGTATGGCAGTACAGACAACTTACTAAGTTGCATCGGGCCCCCAGGCCTAGCAGGCCTGACAAGGCTCGCAGACTGGGATACAGAGCCAAGCAAGGTAAGCACTGTTAAATTCCATTACAGGGACAGATACAAAGTAGGAATCGTGTTATAAGCGTTCAAGAAATTTGAATGATTTCGGCTTGCGGCGGTTTATGTTAGATTTTTGTTACAGGTTTTGTCATTTTCCGCATTCGTGTGCGTCGTGGTGGACGCAAGCGCCCAGTACCCAAAGGTGCCACTTACGGCAAACCAAAGAGTCACGGAGTTAATGAACTGAAACCGGTTCGTAACTTGCAAGCGATTGCCGAGGTAAGTTATGGTGACTATTTCATAGATTTTTTGCTGATACTGTATACTTTAAAATATGAACGGTACTTTTGTTAATAATTTTGGATTGCGTCTTGAGGAAACGTTATTTATTTTCGTAGTATCGAAAAGTAAAATTTTTAGGTTAGGTTTTTTACAAAACTAATTTTATTAAATGTGGGGTCGGTAATAAACAAGTAGTGGTTTGATTTTTGGGAAACTCATTAATTGGACTGTGTAAATGTGCGATTTTTTTATCTATTTATTTTCCATAAACGCTTACCTGGTTCGTAGGAACGCGTTGGCAGAAGATGCGGAGGTCTTCGCGTCCTGAACTCCTACTGGGTGGCCCAAGACTCCTCCTATAAGTACTACGAGATCATTCTGGTGGATCCTTCACACAACGTAAGTCTTTCGTAACCATTCCCGCCGAATCTCAACTTATTACTTTACAGGCGATCCGTCGCGACCCGAAGGTCAACTGGTTAGTGAACGCCGTGCACAAGCACCGCGAGTTACGCGGGAAGACCTCCGCCGGTCGATCGTCTCGCGGTCTGGGCAAGGGACACAGGTACTCGCAGACTAAGGGCGGCTCCAGACGTGCCGCTTGGCTCAGGAGGAACTCCCTGCAAGTGCGCAGGAAACGTTAATTGTATTTTAATTTTTTTGGTAATATATTAAAAATCGTCACAAGTTCAATGGTTGTTTTTCTTCCCAGCCTTTTTTTTTTTTTTCATTTTTCTGCGTAGTTTCCAGGTTTATCGTCATATACAGGGTGACCCAGAAATAAATATAAAATAAAGAAAGAACTATCTCGTGTACCACATCAAAAGTAATAAAAAAAAAATTCTTGCATGTACAATATTTTACATTTTTTTAAATTTTTTGTTTTTAAGTATTTCATCCGTATTTCCCCAAATTGTTTTCAAAATTGAAATTACCACGAAGAGAAAAATGGTTTGAAATAGAAAAATTTTGTACGAACGATTTAATTTATTTCTTGAAAATTGATGTATTTCCAATAGCAGGAAAATTTTCAAAAAATTAAGGCACTGGTCTAAGGGCAGTGTTTTTTTCCTAACTTTGTACGAAGCAGAATGAAAAATTGCTTTTTTAATGTAATCACATTGGCTGTGTCGAGGAAAAACCGACTTTTTCCTGTGTAGGCGAGATGTTTTGTTCCCATGTCTTTTTATTGCGAACTGTCAAGCTACATTAGAAAACTCAGAAATTATATTGTTGTTCTATAAATAAAGGAAGACTTATTTATAATTTTGTTGTTAATTTTTAATGCATTTACCCAGAATTTTTAATATATAAGATTTTAAGAAATCTTATGCAGCTTAGTACACACTGCTGTATTGTATGTTGCCTACCGTGCAAAAATTGAAATAGAATCGGAAATAAACATTGGAAAATCTCGAAAACTGTAGGAGCTAGAGAGGAACTGACTGCAGTTTTGGATTGATCAGGGCCGTTATAGTTCACCGGATTTTTTAAAATTTTTCCGAGTCCTAAAATTTTTTGATAAAATCGATGTTCCATGAAAATTATCAAAAAATTAAAGTGTTCATCTAAATGCGCTTTTGTCTCAACTTTGAAAGTATATTCTTGTATGAAGTAGAATAAAAAATTGCTTTTTTAAAGCGATTGCATTGGCTGTATCGAGAAAGAACCGACTTTTTCCTGTGTAGGTGAGGTGTTTTGTTCCCATGTCTTTTTATTGCGAACTGTCAAGCTACATTAGGAAACTCAGAAATTATATTGTTGTTCTATAAATAAAGGAAGACTTATTTATAATTTTGTTGTTCATTTTTAATGCATTTACCCAGAATTTTTAATATATAAAATTTTAAGAAATCTTATGCAGCTTAGTATACACAGCCATGTATTGTATGTTGCCTACAGTACAAAAATTGAAATAGAATCGGAAATAAACATTGGAAAATTTCGAAAACTGGTGGAGCTAGACAGGAACTGCATGCAGTTTTGGATTGATCAGGGCCGTTATAGTTCACCGGATCTTTTAAAATTTTTCCGAGTCCTAAAATTTTTTGATAAAGTCGATGGTCCATGAAAACTATCAAAAAATTTAAGTGTCCATCCAAATGCGCTTTTCTCTCAACTTTGAAAGCATATTCTTATATGAAGTAGAATAAAAAATTGCTCTTTTAAAGCGATTGCATTGGCTGTATCGAGGAAGAACCGACTTTTTCCTGTGTACATGAGATGTTTTGTTCCCATGTCTTTTTATTGCGAACTGTCAAGCTACATTAGGAAACTCAGAAATTATATTGTTGTTCTATAAATAAAGGAAGACTTATTTATAATTTTGTTGTTCATTTTTTATGCATTTACCCAGAATCTTTAATATATAAAATTTTAAGAAATCTTATGCAGCTTAGTACACACTGCTGTATTGTATGTTGCCTACCGTGCAAAAATTGAAATAGAATCGGAAGAAAACATTGGCAAATCTCGAAAAGTGGTGGAGCTAGAGAGGAACTGAATGCAGTTTTGGATTGATCAGGGCCGTTATAGTTCACCGGATTTTTAAAAATTTTTCCGAGTCCTAAAATTTTTTGATAAAATCGATGGTCCATGAAAATTATCAAAAAATTTAAGTGTCCATCTAAATGCGCTTTTGTCTCAACTTTGAAAGTATATTCTTATATGAAGTAGAACAAAAAATTGCTTTTTTAAAGCGATTGCATTGGCTGTATCGAGAAAGAACCGACTTTTTCCTGTGTAGGTGAGATGTTTTGTTCCCATGTCTTTTTATTGCGAACTGTCAAGCTACATTAGAAAACACAGAGATTATATTGTTGTTCTATAAATAAAGAAGACTTATTAATAATTTTGTTGTTCATTTTTAATGCATTTACCCAGAATTCTTAATATAAAAAATTATAAGAAATCTTATGCAGCCTAGTATACACAGCCATGTATTATATGTTGCCTACCGTACAAAAATTTAAATAGAACCGGAAGAAAACATTGGCAAATCTCGAAAATGGTGGAGCTAGAGAGGAACTGAATGCAGTTTTGGATTGATTAGGGCCGTTACAGTTTATCGCGTTATTTCAAATTTTTTCGAGACCTAAAATTTTTTGATAAAATCGATGGAAATCAAAAAAATCTTATTTTTTATCTTTCTTTAAAATTGTTTATTACCGACTTTTTACATAAAATTTTATTTTTAATTTTTATAAATAAGCTATATCCAAGGGAAATTCAATTCTCTAAATAAATTTACCTATAAACTATAGCGAAATTTTGCTTCGTTTTCGAGCTACAATTAAAAAACTGAAAGGGGTGCATTTTCACCCCTATCTCCAATTTCCACCCTCTAATTTAATAGCACTCCGCGGTTTTTTAATCTACAATGACCATTTGAACGATTCATGTAATAAAATGTCTTTTTAAACTCCTCTATTTAATAGCCTAAATTGAAGCGGAAAGAAAAAAATTGAAAATCTTGAAAACTAGTGGAACTAAAGAGAAACTGAATGCAGTTCTGGATTAGCCAGGGACGTTTTTGCCTGCCGGAATTTTTCTAAAAATTTTTGAGATAATCGATGAAAATTGTCAAAAAATGAAATAGCTCATTAAAAGACGGTTTTGTCTCAACTTTCTTGTAATATAATAATGCAATGTAATTCCTTTTTAATGCATTTACATATAATCCTTCACAGTCCTGTGCTCATTAATAGATGTCCTTTTTCCTATGAAGTTATATAAAAAAAATACAACTAAATACTGGCATCTGGTAAACCGGAGAAAATTTTGTGAATTATTATGCAGCCAAGTATACACACGCATGTACTGTATGTTGCCTACCTAACAAAAGTTGTAGAACTGAAAGGTAAAATCATGGAGACTATACAAGGAGCCCGAACTCCATGTAAACAAAAATCTTACAAAAATAAGAGGGCGCTAGTGTTCCATATGTCCCATA